AAAAAAAAAAAAAAAAAAAAAAAAAAAAAAAAAAAAACGATGTTTATGACTGAGTGAAACAGATAGCGCAATCTGCTACGGCTAACCAAAAATGTTCGAAGCAGGAAAATTTCTATTCGAAATTTATATTATTTACAGATTTGGTGACACAAGGTATCATGAAACCAGACATTGTTTTCTTTGGCGAAGGACTTCCGGATGCTTTTCACGATGCAATGGCAAAAGATAAAGATGAATGTGATCTTTTAATCGTAATTGGATCGTCATTGAAGGTCCGACCAGTAGCATTAATACCTTCCTCTATTCCGTCTCACGTCCCACAGATCCTGATTAATCGTGAATCATTGCCACATCTAAAGTTTGATGTCGAACTTTTGGGGGATGGTGACATAATTATAAATCAACTGTGTCACTTGTCTACTGCTACTGCTACTGCTACTGCTACTGCTACTGCTACTGCTACTGCTACTGCTACTGCTACTGCTACTGCTACTGCTACTGCTACTGCTACTGCTACTGCTACTGCTACTGCTACTGCTACTGCTACTGCTACTGCTACTGCTACTGCTACTGCTACTGCTACTGCTACTGCTACTGCTACTGCTACTGCTACTGCTACTGCTACTGCTACTGCTACTGCTACTGCTACTGCTACTGCTACTGCTACTGCTACTGCTACTGCTACTGCTACTGCTACTGCTACTGCTACTGCTACTGCTACTGCTACTGCTACTGCTACTGCTACTGCTACTGCTACTGCTACTGCTACTGCTACTGCTACTGCTACTGCTACTGCTACTGCTACTGCTACTGCTACTGCTACTGCTACTGCTACTGCTACTGCTCCTACATTTTTGCGCGTACACGCGTGCGAGCGGTAGTGACAGGGAAGAGGGTACAACATACTCATATCTATATTTTTGTTTTTAAAGAATGGAAAATATCTACAAAGAAGTATGTTGGAATGGTACAATCCTTAAAGAAGCAACTCAACTTTTGCCGATACATTACTTAGCAGACGATACATGGGAACAAAGTCAAGATACAACGTCAAATACTGTTTTATCACGGGACAGCATGGAAACTGATTTTAAACCACATGATTTGTGTTCTATTGAAAGTCAAGACAGTCTTATGGTTCATAACAATGTCGTAGAACGATATGTAGAGAATATGAACGCGCGTATATCACCTTTCTGTACTGATCATACGAATAGTATTGAAGAGAAACTTAGCATTTTGGGTGAAAGCCCAAAGAGAAGATTAGGCGAGTCAAGCGTGGAAAGTAGTCCAAAAAGAATGAATTTTGGCAGCAATTGCATGTTAAATTTCAGTTTGGGCTCCTCAAAGATAGATGCTATTTCAAATACTTCCATTGGTTATAAATTTCATGCAGTTTCTATAGAATCTACATCAAAAGATATTGGAAAAATTTATAGCCTGGGAGAGTGTCAAGTATTTCCAAGAATAATAGAAATATCATCAGAAAATACATTATTAGATTCTACCTTAAAACCAAATCATCATGTAGAAAATAGAGCATCGTTAAAAATGAATGATGTTTATCCAACATCGATTCCAATCGAAGCTGAAAAAATTAATTTTAAACCGAGGCAAGCTTCCATTGATTCCGCTTTAGATTCCGGCGTAGGTGACAGTTGTAACAGTGTCGACAGTCAAGAAGATAAAAATAACAAAGAAGAATTAAAAAATGGAAGACTGGGTCGGCACTATTGGCATGCCAAAATACGAAAAAGTCTTGCTATGAGATTACCAGGTATATGAAGATTTATTTTATTTTTTTTTTGTTTTCTGTTTTCTTTTTTTTTATGTTTATGTAAAGTAAAAATGATAGTGTATATAGATATGTTACAATTATATTTTTTCAGAAAATTCTTATTATCAGTTAGCATCTGGAAAGTATATATTTCCTGGAGCAGAAGTATATTCAGATCTTGAAGAGTATGATCACTGTTCACTTTCCATAAATTCTGAAAGTTCAGATAGTGATTGTGATTCTTCATCTGTAGAAGAAGAAGAAGAAGAAGAAGAAGAAGAAGAAGAAGAAGAAGAAGAAGAAGAAGAAGAAGAAGAAGAAGAAGAAGAAGAAGAAGAAGAGGAAGAAGAGGAAGAAGAGGAAGAAGAGGAAGAGGAAGAAGAAGACGAAGAAGAGGAAGAAGAGGAAGAGGAAGAAGAAGAGGAAGAGGAAGAAGAAGAAGAAGTAGAAGTAGAAGAAGAAGAAGAAGAGGAGGAGGAGGAAGAAGAAGAAGAAGAGGAAGAAGGAGAAGGAAAAGGAGATCATGATGATGAAGGTGAAGAGGAGGAAGAGGAGATAGAGGCAGCAGAGGGAGAAGAGGAACATGATAGTGTAGAGAAGGAAGAAGAGGAAGAAGATGAGATGAAGGATAAAGAGAAACAGATACAAATTAACGAAGATGAAGATGAGATGAATGTGAGGAAGGAAGATGTAAAGGAGGAAGAAAATAAGGAGAAAAAAGTCAAAGAGCAAAAGGAAGTCTTAAAGGAGCAAAGGAAAGGAGAACCAAAAGACAATAAGATGGCGAAGGAAACAGAGAAGGAGAAAAATCAACAAATAACAATAAAAGAAGAAGATGAAAGGAGAAATATGAGTAAGTTAAAAAACGAAAATATTTTAGAGGATCAAAGAAATGGAAATTAACATAGACTAGAGTGACAAATTGGAATTGGAAAAAAAGATATCATTACAGATGCTAGTATTTATCACTACCAAATAGTGATAAACCATGTAAAATGGACAACAACAAATTATTTGCATGATATAAAGTAAATTGCATCTAAATGGTAACAATTTTAATTCTTGCTGCCTTCATCAAACTACCTAGTTTTGATGAAGTGAATAATTAGTTGGAAGGAAGTGCAATTTTTACCACGCGTTATACGTGTATACGTATAGTAGGAATATACGTAACAAGAAAAACATTGAAACTTCTAAGTAGGGTCCGTGTTTATCTTTTAACAAGGTCCGTGGACAATATATGATAGAAAAAACAGTTTAATGACTTCTTACGTAAGCAATGTTTTACTGTATGTACTAGTCACAGAACATCGGAAGTTACTGTAATTCTCTGCCTTTTTTAATTACAGTAGAAATATAGTACTGATTTCAATTCTTTTCGTTAAATGGAAAACATCTTTACAGAGAATGTTTTCAAAGAAATAGAGATTGTTGCCCTAGTATGTGATATAATAAGCTCTTCAAATTTTTTTTTGTGTGCATACTTCATATTTTCAATTTAATGACATTTAATAATATACATAACTAAAAGCAAATACATCTGAAGTTATATGATATGATATAGAAATTGGTATTATTGGTATATACACTTAAATAAACAATTAAATAATTATAACAAACAGAAACGGAAAAGATAATATTTTAAAAAATACAAAAAGAATGATTTACCTATAGCTTGGAAAAAGAGAAGTGGATAACTGTAACATTAAACTGCACAAACATAATTAGCTTTCCATCTGTATAACGGGTCATAAAAGGTTTTTTGGTGTCTAGAACAATACAAAAATTCGGCTTAAGTTTACAAGACCCGTTATGTCGATTATTGACATGGGTGGAAGGTTAAAAAAGCATCCATGACTTATATAAGATAGACTTTTTTTTTCTTTCTTTTTTTTTTCATGTTGTATATAATATTTAATATTATTTCTTTATTTCTTCGTTCTGCTTTCATTTTTGTGAATTACTAGTGTCACGAGTCTGGGAATATATGTTTGAAGGGAATTTAATTCTTGAATATAATTTGTAAATGTTTGATCAAGGCAACAAGTAGTTTATAGATATTTAGAATATTGTGCAATTGTAGAAGGATAAATAAGATCTAGTATATTATACGATATATTCTTGAGAAAGAAATAATGTGTATAATTAATATTAAATACGTGTGATGAAATACACACGTGATTAACAAAATTTGGATTGATGATGGCTATAAAGAATAAATTTTCTGCAGTTTAGAATATTTTACAAATGCATACGTGTTATAGGTTCAAAATTAAATTTTGTAAAAGGTATTTAACAAGTCTTCTTAAGGAAAGAAATGTAATAACAAATAACGGAAACCCTTTTTGGGCTAAAAGTGAACGTAAGGAAGTAAAATTCCAAGATGGATTAGTATTTGCTTTAATACTTGAAGTACTTTTAATTTTATTTTACTCTTATACTAATGTTTTTGTCGTTGGTTCTTTTGCTATTACATCTTCTATCACTTATCGTTAAAGATTATTTATATTTTAAATTATTGTGTAAGTTAAAAGGATTGAAAGAATATCGCGTGATAGATGATAAGAACCATGTATTTTTAAATACTTTATTTAATAATGTGCACGAAAATGCGAACAAAAAGTATTATTTATGTCACAAGACTTGTAGAAAGTACATCGATGCGCTCAGAGCAACATTGAATGTATGAATAATGAGTGCATGTATGTGTGTTGTATGTATAATTATAAAGCATTTTCAGAAACCTACAAAAAGGTGCTCTATATATTGTAAAGTTTTAGCGATGGAAGGCGAAAGGAAGGAAAAGAAAGAAAGGAAATACGACCCAGCGACGATAATGGCAAAAACGAATACAGTCTAAATATAGTTTTAAGTTTTAGCGGTAAGTTTCTTTATATTCAAACGCAAAATCAATCATACAGTGATATTGCACTGAATGTGTTGGATTTATTGGGTTTGACCTTTCTTTTTCTTTTTTTTTTTCCCCCTCTTCCTCTTCCCCTCATTGGAGCACGGGCGAATGTACAAAGCAATGTTGGATAGTTTTGACATTGCATATTATTTTTATATGAACGAAAAAATGACTAAACAAGTAAACGAATAAGGCAGGAAGTAAAAGGTGTGAAGTTGTAACATACCGAGTAAATTGAGAAAAATATCGAAAGACGAATAATGTGTGTAATGTAAATCGTTTGTGTTGTATATGTCATAATATTATGGGAGCATATATGTACAGTGAAACCCCTCTACTGATAAATGAGAATAATATATTGTATATATACATGTCGTAAAATTTAATTTATTAATTAGGTATAATTAATTATTAATAAAAATATTAAATAGTAAATAAAAAGAAAATATAGTAAAAAGAGTCTTGTGATACTGCTACAATGATTTATATGATGATTAAAATGACATGAATGAGTTATGGAATCAGATATGTATTATTAATAGGTCGTCTGAAGAGGTCACTTGTTTGTTTTATAAAAAAATACAATTTAACAAATTTTCTATTAAATCATTCCGTGTCATGTTTACGGGGTTTTACTGTACGTATAACACGGATCCCTTTTGAAATGTATCGTCTGCATGTGTATTAGAAAAAAACGAATGATTTTATGAAAATTTATTATAATTACTATAAAGCAAGATAAATATTCAAGAGGAAATGATTAAAGTACGTAAGGTTTAAAATATACGTGTGAATAAGCACTTAAATACACATTTATAGGTATGCACGTGTATATATGTATACAGCTATGAGTAGCAGAGCAAATAAGATCATTAAATCATTAAATACGCAAGATTTATTAAATACACTTTCAATACAGAGCTTGAAGCTTTATTTTTATCAATAAAGCATGTAAAGATGTATTAGAGAAACTGTTCAAACATTTAACTTTGCCGAAATGTTCTGAATGATTAGAAAAAAACAAACTACAAAAAGAAAGGGTAGCGGGAGGGGGAGAGAGAGAGTACTCGTTTAAGCGTTTGAAAAGAGAAATTTAATTTCTCGCGTGTAGATAGTTTTATAAAATTTATAGGATATTTCTTCCGCTACGTACAAATAGTTTTATTTATCATTAGTTTCAGTTATCTTTATTTATTGATATTCACATGAATAAATAAATATATAGGTAGATAAGTTGATAAAAAATAAATATATACGTAGATGGAATGGTTAAATAGATAATTAAGAACATATATTGACAAATAGCTAGATAAGCAAAGAAATAAGACGAAATAGATACGCAAAGAAGTAGATAGAGTAAATAAAAAGCAGGACATGCAAACACAGCAGCATATAAATAAAGAAAAACTGAGATATGTGTATTATATGTATACTGCACGCAGTATGTATGCATTTTGCGTGTGTACAAAAATATGTTGGATGCACAAATAGTGTATATATGAATGTATGTATGCACGTAAAATGTATATAGAAAATTTGTTTTTAATCGACACTACAAACTTTCCATAACTCTTATAACTCAATCCCCGCCCCCGTCTCTCTCTCACTCACCCATTCCCTCCCTTCCCTCTCTCCGTTGTGCCTGTTAATCGACTAAAAGCATAATTGTGTTGTTTTTTCTAAAGTAAATTATGTCATTTGTATAATTTCTTTTGTCTTGATACATCATCAATTACTATGTATTTTATTTGTAAGTAATTCTTTAGTTTTAATAGATAATAGAAACAAATTAACGTTTCGTGCATTTATATTATACTATTTTAATGTGTAATTCGCTGTCAATTCAGAGAGAACATTGTAAAGTTTTGACAATCACACTGACTTCTTTTTTTTCAACGTACTGACTTTTTGTATAAATGTGTTACGTGTAAATATTTATTATTTTTAATATATGATGAGAATAATGAGTTGCAATCACTTCGGCTAAACGATGAATTATGCGATATCTCTTTTTTTCATTTCTGGGTGTGAGGATAAAATATTTACTGTTACTACTAGTACCATTAATATTTTTTGCATCTATTTTGTTTATATATTAAATAAAAAATATCGAATAATTTATCCAAAAAGTATTCATCGTATAGCCGGTATGAAAGAACGCGAGGAGTAAAGCCTATGAATTTTTTTATAATTTGTTATTTAATGTAATGAATGTTATAGAAATGTCGTCTATATTTCAAACGTTATAAGTTTTCTGTTTCTTTGGTATTATTAATGTATAAGCATATCTTTTAAATTAAACACTTTTTTACAATAACAAGATGACTCGTCAATCTATTTTACTTAGTATTTTCATGCCCTTTGTAAATAATCAATCACATTGAGAATTATTACTATTATCATACCGATTGTTGAAAAAAGAGATGAATATAGAGGCGCAAGATGTGATATAGTACTATCACTGCTACTGCTACTGCTGCTGTTACGGCTACTACTACTACACTACCACTACCATACTACTACCACCACTACACTACTACTGCTGCTACTACTACTACCACCATCACCCCACCACCACCACTACACTACTACTATTTTTACTCTTGTTACTATTACTACACTACTGTTGTTGCTTCTGCTATTGCAATTGCTACTACTACTGCTTCTATTGTTGCTACTGCCCCCGCTGTTGCTACACAGCGCTCGCTGCTGTTGCTGTTACTGCTATTACTGTTGATGCTGATGACACCGATGCTGGTACTGCTACTGCCACAGTTACTGCTATGTATTACTATTACTGTTGTTGCTAGTTAACCACCACTATTATTACTTTTGCCATCATCATGAATACTACCACCATAATCAGCCCCACTGCTACATTCATCACCATCACCATTACTATCACTAGCAGTAACAACAGCAGCAGTATCGTCATCGTCATCGTTGTCTTCAGCATCACCATTATTATTGTTATGATCGTTGTTGTTGTTATATAATTGGAGTAACCCATAATACCAATAATAGGGGTTTTATTATTATTATTATTATCATTATTATTATTATTATTATTATTATTATTATTATTATATTCTAAATCTTAAAATTCAGTTTTTCTTCCTACTGTAAAACATTGGACAGACGCAAAAAAGAATTGAGCAATGCATTCAGAGAATAAGACCTGTGTAAAACTGAATTATTGTGAGTGATAGTCAACACTAGATTATTGATAATTAATAATTAGCGAATAATAAATATGTACAGCGGGCAAAATTAATTTTAATTATTTTTTGCTTGCTTATTTTTTCGTTTATTCGTTTATTTATATATTTATTTATTTACTTATTTTATTCATTTATTTACTTTATTGTTGTATATCATATAATAGTTTTGTGTCGTATATTGCAATTATCATAAATCAAATTTGAAAATAGGCTTTAAATTATTATAACAATATATCTTAGACAATAATTGAAGCGCTCCCTGGAATCAATAGAGCTGAAAGCTCTCGCAATATTTTTCCACGAGCTTTTATCGAAACTTACGCCTGTGTATGTAGGGGACCGTTTCAATTACGATATCGTCGCTATATATATTGAACACTTGTTGAAATCCCCATCAAGAAAGATTTTCAAATGTTCAAACAAAATGAACATTTCTTATATTTATTATCGAGTGTTTATCTAGTAAAATACTTGTAACATCGTACTAGTTTCAGGCGAAACAGTGTGGATGACGTTTACTATTTACCTTTCATTTTCTATAATTACGTTATGTGTTATAATAACCATAATATAATAATAAACATTATTACCACCACAGCAATAATAGTATTATAATAGCACTGTTGCTAGGGACGCATAAAGTTATATTTACGTGACATCGGCCCCACTACCTGTTTAATGCAATGAATGATACTCATTCACCTGAATAGGAGTTGTTATATATCATATTTAATGTAGTATCATTACAGTATATATTAACTCGTATCAGCATATTTTTATTCGCACGGTTTCTGTGTTTCTTTTTATTCTTTTCTACATTCATTTTTTGCGCGCAATGAAGTCCTAATTGAACGATTTCGAAACGCCAGTTGTATTGTTTTCATCAAGTAATTTACGCTACTTGTTTATACAGTTTATTATGATCTTTTCATTTCTTTACCCGCCATCCCTGTTTCTTTTTACACTTTAACATAAATGTTCTCGCATAACTTCCATAATCAGCTATCGCTTATTTTGAATTGGGCATTTTACTTTAATATAGATCTTGAACGAAAAGAGTTGAAGAGGCTATACGCGATAATGTAGCTGCTGTCATGTATACTCGTCATAGAGTAAGAAAAAATTTGGTACGGAATCATTACTATCAACTGAATGAACTGCTAATTATATTACACCGTATAATGTCTAGTTTGCCTTGTTTACTTCTTTTTTTAACTTGCTAATATTTTCAATGATGCACATAAAGACAATATAAAATGAAAGCTATTTTTTCGAGACTGTATAAAACAGGAATATTTAAGGGAAAATAATAAGAGAGATAGTAATAAGCTATAAATATATCAAAAAGGAAACAATATAGTAATATTAGAAGCGTAGCAGAAGAATAGTAATGATAGTGAAAAAAGAAATGGAAAAAGAAAGAAAAATTGGTTACACATAATGTCTAAATATTGGAAGTAATTCCTCAGGTCTCTCATTTCTTCTTAAGCTGTTTTCTTTAATCTCAACAAAGTATATTACCTAAACAAAGGCAAAAATAACTCCCTGTTTGATATGACAATAATAATATTATTATTGTTATTATGTATTAATTAATTAATATAATAATATTCGGCTATCCCCGTGGGAAATCGAAGCTTTTATTTTCGCACGCATGTAAGATAATTGAAACGAAGCTTTCTAATTCAAGGAAAACAAAGAGGATACAAGGTTTTAATTTGAAATGTACTGCTAAAGGTGAAGCGAAAGCTGATGTAATTATCGTATGCGCATCTGAATTTATTATGATAAATGTCTATCAAATATTGTAAAATTTGAGACTTATAACCTGGGCAAAAACTGATCGACCAAACGATCAGCATAGGAAGAAGTATCATAAATTGCCCTTGATATATCATCAGACCAAAAGTTGATTAGAGAATGATCTTGGAGTACAGTAGTGTGGTCGAAGTATAATCGAAAACGAATAAAAAAACAAATGACAAACACGTTTTGTTCTATTTCGACCTCACCTATCTTTTTCTTTTTTTTTCTATGTCCTTTTCTTTCTCAACTTTTTTCCACATCATATTCGATAATTGTATTGCATAATTATACTAGACAATAGTAATAAGTTGTAAAGATTTACCGCCTTATCACCTAACATGACAAATAATATTGAATCTGTGTTGTAATGGATACAATTAGGATAGTAATGTAATTTAAGTGTCTAAAACAATGTTTCATAGTCCAGTTACATCTATTTACTATTTCGCATTCCAGGTTTTATTTCATATCATCCAGGTAAGAAAGCGAAGTTGCCTTCACAATAATTTCTGCCTGTTTTTCTTTTTTTTTTTCTTTTTAATGAGTCCATTTATTCCATGCCTGCAATCAAATCATTTATTCACGATGTAAGCATGTAATATAAGTAGAATATAACCATAAAAGAAAAATGGAAAAAACGATGATGGTATAAAAAGAAGATATATGGGAAAGGTGAACATGTTAAATTATTGCATAAATTAAATATTCAGATATAAATGAATATACCAATCAAGAAAAAATATAATGAAAACAACAAATGTTTAAATATTCATTATTTTTAGATATCTAAGATGTAAATATACATGTAATCTCTGACAAATTTTTTCAACTTTTTTCTCCATTTCAATTTTAATATTAGTTATGTTGTACCTTTTTATAATTTGCACGTAATATATAACATACCGGATGTTGCTTGTCTTGCACAGAATCTGGTATTCCCCACGTTGGTGGATCCATTTTATTTGCTTCATTTGGAGGAATTTCTGTCAATGTAGGCGTTCCAAATTGTCCCGGTAATAAAGTTAATCCTGGCATTAGTGATAAAGTGGTTGCACTTCCATTAGGGAAAGCCTGTTGCTGAGTTTCAACGTGACCCTGTATATATGCATATGTGTGTGTATATATGTGTATATATATATGAGAGATATAAATATCAATATTTTTTTAAATATTTCTATCCAATACGTAAAATAAGAACTTAGAATCATTCTTATGTAAAGAATAATTCCTAAGTAAATTATTACGAGTTTAAATAAATTGAGCTCTATGTATACTTTTCAAACAAGGAAAAAAGTAATGAACCCAAGCAAAAAAGAAAGAAAAAGATGGAAAATGAGAAATCATAAAATTATAAGTGTGATAGGGAATTTACCTGGAAAGAAGATTCCATCATTTGATGAAGTTCAGCATCGACATTGGATATACGATTGTAAGTAGCATTAGATCGAAACATTTGATGCCTATCTATTCCCGGTGCTAAATTTGCCCAGGAACCAACAAGTTTTTCATTGTTCAACATCCAATTTATAGAATCAGCATCACCACCAGGTCCCATACCAGCCGTTGCATAATTTTTCCAGGCTCTTTCCGTACCAATTGGTCGTGGTACCTTACGATCTTCTATCTTAAGCTGATTCATCTCTTGAGCTACCTGTGCCGGTGAAGAGGGTGATATGGCCGGTGAACCACCATTTTCTAGACTTGTAATTAAATCAATACTTCCAGGTTGTGCGGTTATGTTTGCCAAATGATTGGAAAAACCAATTTGACCTATCATGGGGTCTTGATGAGGCGGGTAATTATTGTGCGGCGGAGCGAACGGCCAACGAGTTTGTCCGTTATTCGATATTCCGGTATTGTTTGGAGTAGCTCGAGATGGTGCTTGATATTTTCCTAATGGAAAATTTCCGAGCATTGCTAGATTATTGGACTGGATCGCGGACGGAGGGGGTGGTGGCACAGTGGCAAACATATTTGGATGCATTCCCGCTGCCGCTGAACCGGCATTAAACATTGTAACTTGAGGTTTATTATTCAAATGTAATGAACTAGAAAAATCAGGCGCTCTGGGATTTAATCTGGACATACTGACAGTAGTATTCACTGAAGCAGATGGAGCTATTGTTTGCGTGAAATTCTGCATATGTGGATGGAAAGGCAACAGTGGATGACCTTGACCTTCATTGGGTACCATCTTTAATAAGCTTGAATTTACGTTTGAATGTTCATATCCAATGTTGTTTCCTTTAAATAAACCCACATCCAACGTTGGTTGTGATGTAGAAGCTATCACATGCGACTGATGAGTTGTTGTATTACGAGTTCCAGCTAATTCCCCTTGAAATACTGGTCTACTAAATTGCGTCCCCATAGCTGCTCCTATTTCTATATTTTGTTGCGGAATCACTGGTCGCGCTACAGCTAAGCTTCCGGGTGGTTTGTTTGAAAGAGGATGTTCGTTGTAATTTCCAGATGATTGAAATTGTGGTGGTTGAATAGGATTATGGCCTGTGGTTGATACACCGCCATTTCCCATACTAGTCACATTCGTATTAGATGTATTATTTGATTTACTTGAAACGGGCGAACACATTGTTGTCCCCCGATATCCGGGTGCTTTCGAAGCATCTACCTATACAAACAATGAAAAAAACAATTAAAACATTCATTAGAAATCGTAAATATACAGTTGCTTATTTTATAATTGCAAATATTAAAGAGAATAGAGTAAAATAAGTGAAAAAAACAGGGGGGGGGGGGGGGCAGATATTAACCTGAGGAGGCACGCTGTCAATGAATTTCGACGAGGATGAACCTGAGATGTTGACAGATACTCCACCGCCTCCAGCAACCGTTGCAAAATTCATACCCTTTTGAGATTCATTTTCACGGCCACCCCACATCGACTGTTGAGTAACTTTCGTGAATGTATCATTGAACAATGAATATTCAAGTGGTGTATTATTTGTCTGTTGTTGCTGGTGTTGTTGATGTTGTTGTGGTTGCTGCTGCTGATGTTGCTGCTGTTGCTGTGGTTGCTGTTGTTGTTCTTGTATCGTCGATGCAATAGGCGGCGGACTACGAGATTGTTGTTGCTGCTGTTGTAACTGCTGTTGACATTGTGATGATATCGGAGGTGACGGACTGACCCGTATTGATGAATTCGAAGAAGTTGAAGCGATGGTACTTTCTGAGCAGTATGCAACTACAGTGCTCGTTGCTGGAGATACTGCCGCATTTGAGCCGGGAGAGTAAGTAGATTTTCCAGAATAATGGGAGACAATAGTAGGTGGAGCAGATAAAGTAGGCAGTGGTCGGCAGTGTTTTGGTGACGTATTGACTGCAGACTGTTGAGTCGAAGTCTGAGCCATTGCCGCGGCTGTAGCTGATACGACAGTTACTGTATTTGCTTGCAACGACTTTTGCTTATTTACTGTATGAGTGGACTGCATGACGGTAGTAGATATATGTGTTGAGGCAGTGATTTCTGATAGTTTCGCTGCAAACGTTTGCGTAGTACTTGTCGTTACAATTTTGGTTGCTCGTCCAGGAGTCATAATTGCATTCGTATATGACATTGTTGTCTTCGTATTTGAAGACGAAGCCATCTGTGCTGCTACAGCTTGAGCTCGTTTTTCAGCTATATATACGTATACAAACAGACACACAAAAAACAAGATGGTATTAAGTTGAATAATTGTTAATCAAATATTGCTATAAAAGGACTCAAATTGTTATAAAATGATGCAATTTATTGTTACCTGCAGCTACAAGTCTGGGTGCTGTTGCGCGTGGTAGCGGCGTTGGAAATGCTGCCGCAAGTTTAATAGTAGATGATGAACGAAGTGGAATCAATTGATTAACGGTAGAAACACCGGAAGTGTAACTAGATTTATTAATTTGCGTACCACTGGAACTAGACGTTAAACTTGGAAGTTTATTTACAGGACCCAATTTTGCTTTACTCGACTAAAATTGAAATAGATGTAATAAATAATAAATAAATTAATAAATGAAAGTTTTTTTGGATGCTGCTGGTATAATAATTTAATGGCCTTACAGCTACAGTAGATACAGTTTTATCCCAAGAAGAAGTCGTAACAACTGTAAGTTTCGATTTTGGAAGCATTTGCAATATATCAACATCAGGATCTTTAATAAGAGCAGCTATTAAGGTGTGGGCCTGTTTTGTTGCATCAGATGATCCCCTAAAAATGATAAAAAGAGGAAATTTAAATCACTAGATATTACTTGGATAATTTTCAGAAGGAAAAAAATAATGAAATATGCATACTTAATAGTAATAATTCGTTCACCCTGACATTTGCTTTGCTTTTCAACTTCAATATGCGCTCCTGTTGCACCTCTAATAGCATTTATATTACTGCCCCCTCTTCCAATAACTCGACTAATAGCATTTGGTGGAACAGAAACTTTCTTTGAACGGAATGGTGAATTCATAAACCTTCCAGAATCATCGGATTGACCCCTACAATGAACATTGCTATTATAGATCTCTATGTAACACGACTATATACTACTAATAATAATGATCACATTAGCTGTAATAGTAGCATTGGTAATTCAAATTATATTTCTTACTTTCGTACAACCTCTTTCCATCCTTCTTCACGCTTGCCACCTTGTTTGGGACTAGTGGTGTTGTTTGTTTTTGTAGAAGTATTTGTTAATGTGTCAGTATCATATTGATTATTATAAGATTTCTTGCCCTTGCCAGGCATGTATGTTTCATTGCCAGTAGCTTCAAAGTCTTCTCTATCGGCAGGATGTCTCGACGATTCAAATACAAGTTGACCTTTCAATTTCCCACAATTTACAGTTGAAGACCTAGAACTCATTGTGGCAGAAGTCGCAGAAACAGATACTGCATTAGCAACATTAGTCATAATTCTTCTGAAAAAGTAAAGTCATTCATTATTTCAAAAATTCATTGATTAATTCAATATACAATGAATTTTATTTTTTATATTGTAATTTCTTCAACTTACTTTTCAGATGCATTATTTTGAGATTTTGTTGGTGTAATGGAATTTTGTGATAAAGTAGTGCTTTGAGTAACACCAGATTTTGGAGATCTTTGAGGAGAAGTGTCTTTTTCATTGTTAGTAGGACTATTGGTTTTCTTTTTCTTTTTTTCTTTTTTCTTTTCTCTTGCTTTGACGTCGTTGCTACTGCAACTGCCTTGACTATTTGCATCAATTCCACTATCACCTTCTTCTCTATAAGGATCTTCCGGACTTCTGTTAACCGGTGATGGCATACTATCCATTCTTTCACAGCTATCCCCAGTTTCATGTTCACTATCATCCACTCTATCGCATTCTTCATCTCCGGATTTTTTTCCATTTTCCTCTTTATCTTCATAGTTCGTTTCATTTTTCTTGTACTCTTCATGCAATTTTCGTTTTTCTTCTTTCTTTTCAAGCTTCTTTTTTTTCTTTCGTTCTCTCCTACGAGCAGCCGCGGCTTTCTTTGATTCTTCTCTTGTTTTTTCCATATCAAGTTCTTCTAATAGTATTGTCGCATTTTTATTTGCTTTTGCGGCTTGAGTTTCCTTTGCTGCTCGAATAACTTTTACACATTCTTGACACTTTTCTAGAAGTTCTTTGTCACTGACAGTAGCTATATACCTTGTCATTTCTTGGTCACTAGGAAACTGAGTAACATGATTTACCATCCACTTAACAACCTTAATATGCCCTTTACGAAATGCAGCCATCAAACAAGAAACCTACAATTAAGAGAAATAGATAATTAGACCTACATGGACATATAATGACAAAAAGAACAGAGTACAATGCGATATGACTCATAAAGAATTGATTCAATTTCATTACGTACCTCATTTGTAACTATTCACATACCTTTCGATTGTCTTGGGAATCAATATCTGCTCCAGCATGATACAACAAATCAACAACATTCAAGTGTCCACCATTTGCCGCTAGCCATAATGGACTATTTCCCTTTTTATTTTTTACTTCAACTTGTGTACCTCTGTAAAATTGATTTTGTAAGCTACTTGGTTTAGGATTATAGATGTAATAAAAAAAAAATTACAAAAAAATAAATAAATAATAAACGAATGCTACCTTGATAATAATAATTCTACAAAACGGCAGTGTCCTTTATCAGCAGCAATGGTCAGGGCAGTATCGCGAGATGATGGTACGGGAGTAGCATTAACATCAGCTCCTTTTGTAAGTAAAACACGTCCAACTTCTACATATCCTCCACTGGCTGCTTCCATTAATGGTGTTAAGCCGGTCTAAAGAAAATTTTTACGGGTTTCATATGAGCATCGTATATCTATATATACAACAAAGCATTTCAAAATTATGTATTAACGATTCAAAATTTTCAAGTATTTCTTACAATAAAAAAATATCCTTGATGAAGCTTTTAGAAATTAAATTTAAATATACCCTAAAAAATAAAGTAAAAAATTATACAAAACGATAAAAATTGATCAAATTTTTTCTTTTCTTGTATTATATTAAATTTATATATTTTGATATATAACTTTAAAATACATATGTATATACTTATTTACTCATTAATATCTTACAATATATAGTAACTAATCAAAAATACATATTTGAAAAAAAAAAGGAGGAAAAGGAAGGATGGAAAACATATACGCGTACACACACATTTATTAATACCTTAGCTCGATGTTCTACGTTAGCTTTTCGATCGAGAAGAAGACTAACAACTTCATGTCTTCCTTGAAAACACGCCAATGTTAACGCCGTATTACGATTAGTCTCTATTTGAGCGTTTATATCACTGCCCATATCTAATAATAGCTTTACTGCGGCTGCAACGAATTATAAATATATATATATTTATATATATACATATACATATAAGACTAGATTTAATAATTTTACAATAATAATTTTATTTTATAATAAACATACCAACATGACCATTCATAGCTGCAAGCATAAGTGGAGAAATACCTAATTTTGAACCAGTTCGGGAATTAATTTCGGCACCATGACTAAGAAGAAGCTTTATTATATTAACATAGCCACCGGATGCTGCAAGGCTTAAAGGTGTGTAATCAGAAACATTACGATGTTCCTTATTTGCACCCCGACTAAGCAGAAGTTCTACCACTTCATATCTACCACCACTGCAGGCAAGCGACAAGGGTGTATCCTTGGTTCGTTCAGATTGCGCCTCTATATCAGCCCCATGATTCAAAAGAATCTCTACCACTTTTTGATGGCCTGCTGTTGCTGCCAAAATAAGTGGTGTAAATCCCTTTTTGTCTCTATGTTCTGTAAAATATGAAATACAAAATTTGTACAAATTCGTGAAACAGGAAAAATGTATTATATGTCATGTTTATAGATGGTACCTATATCTGCACCACGACTTAATAAAAGTTCAACTAGCTCATGATGACCACCAGCACATGCCAAAGTCAAAGCTGTATCATGATTACTATCTGTTTCAGAATCCACATCCATACAAGAAAATGGTGCAGGCGGTACTTGACTAGTAGTGTAACCACCAACCGTTGGAACACCTGTTGTATACTGACCAGCAACTAAGTAATAAAACTGAATTAAAAACTCAACATCCACCATTAAGAAACATGCATAATTAAAAATTAATATATATTTTTTTCTTTCTTTCTTTTTTTGTATTACAAATTTATTTTATAATAAGAGAAATATTGCACCTGTTGTTGGATCCAATTGATAATTCTGACTGGGAAAATTAGGTGTCTGCTGTTGAGTGTTAGTAGTTTGTTGTTGTTGACATGATGGTTGCTGAGACAGAAGTGGGTATCTTCCCTTTTTTCCTTTACCAGTCGTTGGTGCTGTGTAAACTTGCTTTTTGTCTGAAGCAACAATAGTTGCAGCAGTTGTTGTTGCTGGTGCTTGAGTTTGAGTAGCTACTTGAACTTGATTAGTATTACAGACTGTTGACTGGGTATAACCATTCGTTTGATGGGGTATACTATCTATTATTCCCGTTGCTTCACTTACAGTTGGTAAAGCTTGGGTGGGAAATGCTAATCATAAATAAATATATGGTCATGTTAAAATTCCACCACACATTTTGAAAACTAATATATGTACAAATAAATCATAAAACTTACTTATTTGAGATGACTGCAACAAGAGTTGCGATTGAAAATGATATCGAAGACCATCAAGATATCCCTCTTGATATTCCTTTAATGGATCTTTAAATGGTAAATCTGCTGATATATCAGCTTGTATTTGAACATCAGCACTAGTTACTTGAAGTGAAGGCAAAGTTGGTAATACAGGATTGGTAAAATACTCTTGAGAAGTATAAGGACTGGTAGTCTGTTGAACTATTTGTGTGGTTTGCAAATGTTGTGGCTGTTGCTGCTGTTGTGATTGTTGAGTATCTTTACCATTTGATACCTCTAATCTTTTCAGTTCAAGTTTTTCTTGATCTTCTGTTGCTATTTAACCAAATCACAGTGTATGAGACATATATAAAAACTGAGAAGAATGAATAATACCTTCTTTAGATATTTACCATCAACAGTATCATCAAAACTAATAGATCGAAAGATCTCAAAGGCATCATCCAAAGGGATATGTGTGCCATCTTCTAATTTTATAACACTTTCACTTGAACAAAGAGCCTTTGCCTTTTGAGCAGCAGCAACAAAGGGACAAGCTCCATCTCGATGCAATCTGGCTAATTCAGGATCTGCCTGCTCCGTTAGATTTTGTTGAGTTTGCTGCGTGCAATTTTTATGTACATATGCATACATACATATATGTCATCATGTAAAAAATAATCTATAATTACCTGATCATGAAGATGATGAGTATGCGTAGGATGAAGATGTGACATTAATTGTGTAGGCATAAGTATGTTATTTCCATTTGCAGTTACTACCCCAGTTTGTTGCTGTGATTGCAATTGCTGCGACTGCAATTGCTGTGACTGTTGCTGTTGTTGTTGAACTTGTTGTTGTTGTGGTTGTTGTTGTGGTTGTTGTTGCTGTGCCTAGTCAAATACCAATATACAATATGTTATTATGTTACAATAAGAAACAGAAAAGAAAAAAAAAATGACATAAGAAAACAGGAAGATAATTAAGAAATGCAAAATAAGAAAAAAAGGAGTACGCAAAAATTTAGATGTTAAAAATACCTGTACTTGATCCAACTGTAACTGTTGTTGCAATTGTTGATTAAGCTGTTGTAACTGATGTACCTGTTGAACTTGATAAGTATGTAATCGCTGTTTTTGTTGGTATTGCTGTTGAAGACCAGCCATCAAATTAGCTTGCTGTTGTTGGTGTTGCTGCTGCTGTTGCTGTGGCTGCTGCTGCGACTGCTGCTGCTGTTGTTGTTGTTGTTGTTGTTGCTGTTGTTGTTGTTGTAATTTGCCGTTCATTACACTAGATGAAGCTTTCCGAATATTTTTGCTTTCTTTTTTAGAGACAGGTTTCGCTTTCGGACGATCACTAATAGCTGTATTTTGACTAACATCGCTGCTCGCAGTAATAGGTTGAGAAACTGCCATAACAGTAGGGGGTGTAGTTATGCTTGGAGCACTCGGCGTAATTGTTGAAGATGTATTTGAAGTAACCAAAGGAACGGACGTTGTAACGGGTATCGTTGCAAGAGAAAGCGGAGGAGAAGTAG